ATTTTAGGCATGGAAAGCGAAGACACTCTGGCAAAAAAAAAGAAGACCTAAATGAAAGATCTCTGAAAGTGAGATCCCAGTGGAAAGAACAGGTCTTCAAAGAAGGAGGTAACTTTCTCTGAAGGGAGGAGAGTACTTCCACTTTGAGTATGACCTTGTCTAAATAAGATCAAAGTTGGCGAACTCAAAAGGCTTCCATAGCCTTGGCAACTCTTGACTAGATCCTAGGGAGATTACTGACACCATAAACAAGAGTGTCAAATTGTTAAGTCAACAACAGGAGTCACTGTGTACTTACTCCTCATGTGGGATCTCTGTCCTTAATGTGTTGTCCACTGTGAATTAATGACATAACTGTACTGAAAGAGTATTTTCACTTTATGTTCTGTGTGGGTGAAAACTGATGAAATCTTTACTGAAGTATTAAAGCTGAAATGATAAAGAATTGTTTATTACTGAGATAAACATGTAAGAAAACTGAATGAACAGCTTCATGTCTATGACAGTAAATTAGATGTCATGAATCAAATGCTTATTTTTCCAGGAAAACATGATTGAACACAACTACTTTCCTAAGATTTGATATATTTGAGAATAAATTGTGCAAACTGTCCACACCAAATGCCTCAGGTAGCTAAAGAGGCTTAACTTTTGTTTGACTAGCTGAATAAGCCTTAACTTTGATCATTCAACTAGACTATGAATATTTAAGTGAACATTTGTTTCTGCTTAGTATAAAAATGAGAGTCCATGGTGGAAGCATCAAGGTTTTGTAAGTATTCATGGAGGTTAATGCGTATACTCCTAATTCGTGTCCCTGGAGGATATCTTGCTATCTCTTCAATTCATTGATGTGTCATGCATTTATAGGACCTTAGAAAAGACAAATCAATCTGGTTAACAGCTGTATCACTCAGCATAATGTCACCTCACCCCACTCACCCTGCAAACCTCTCTCAGTGATTTGGACACTGTTACATAACAGTGAAAGAAGAGCTGTTCCAAGATCTTCTACTACCCTGGTAACCTCAGTCACCCCAGCTTCATGAGCAAGTGCAGGAGAACCACTGAATGACAGCCTGGGTCTGACAGTACTTCAGGATATTGTTAAGGAGCTAGCTCCCTAAATTACATGATCTGACTCCTCTTTCAAATGCTGCTCCAGTCTTTAGGTAGTTGCAGAAGAACTTCTGATAATTTCTGGTGTTTCATTTTGCCATCCACAGGATCAGTGAGGTTCCTCCACCTATCCCCCAGTCTGTCCTTGGGTTTCCAAATCTATAGTGCCTTGTCCAGTGATAAGTTCCCCTTGTGGAATACTCTGTATTGGTGTTCTGGAAAGCATTGAGTTATCCTCAACTACAGCTGCCAGGCACAAGAGAAATCTGTTACCATAATAGCTGGAACCATAGTAGCATTTTTTGCTTAAATAGGAACCCATTTGGATCTCTTCAAAAGCCCACAGGTAAATGTGTTGTGAATTCTGGAGAAATCTTTGATTCTACCCAAAACCGTTCTCTCATATCTGATGAGAGGGAAGTGTGGATGTAGACTACACAATTTCCATGGTTTGAAACATATCCCAAGGAATTTTCCTGGATTGTGAGATTTTTGATAGTTGTCATGAGAAGTAAGATGTAATCAGCACTGGATGTGCAGAACCTCCCACAAGATTCCTGTCTAGAGCCAGTGTGTACTTCCCCTAAACACTGAGAATGTTGGCTTCTGACTGTTCACATCTCTGTATGAAAGTAGTGTCCATAATAGAGGGACTATCCTGTAGCAGGAAATGTCTACCTGAGGAGTCATTCAGTGGCTATTGGCTCTCAGATGTGGGTACAGAAATACCTGAATTATTTTTTTAAGGATTTATTTGTTTATTTGAAAGTTGGAGTTACACAGAGAGGGAGAGGGAGAGAGGGAGAGGGAGAGGGGCAGGGGGAGGGGGAGGCAGAGTAAGAGAGGAAGAGGGAGAGGGAGAGGGAGAGGGAGAGGGAGAGGGAGAGGGAGAGGGAGAGGGAGAGGGAGGTCTTCCATCCACTGGTTCACTCTCAAACTGGCTGCAATGGTCAGAGCTGAGATGATCTGAAGCCAGGATCCAGAGCTTCCTCCAGGTTTCCCACACAGGTGCAGGGGCCCAAGCACTTGGGCCATCTTCTACTGCTTTCCTGGGTCAGAACAGAGAGCTGGATCAGAAGTGGAACAGCTGGGACTTGGAACTGGTGCCCATAAGGGATTCTGGCACTGCAGGTGGTGGCTTTAACTGCTATGCTATAGCGCTGCCCCCCACCCACACCAATCAGTGTTTTAATATAATCAGTCTAATCAGGATAGGGTTAATCTTTCCACTTGCAAGCCTTCACAAGGATTGAATGCATATTTCAAGGACTGAGTGGCAATCTTGTGATGAGCTTGATGTCTGGCTTACCAGAGATCAAGTAGTGTTTTGTGATAGTTGTATAGGATATCCTGCTATGTCCTCCTCATGATAAAGTCAAGCCATCAAGTAAGTTTCCCAGAGCTGTGCTGACATCTGAGATACCCTGTGATCAGACAGCCAGCCAGCTTCCGCACCTTGCTTAGCAGCCCAACTCCTTTGCAGCTCCTTAAAGACCTCAGAACCTCCTTACTGTGCAGGATGGTCGTTCTTGAGACTCAGAAGTCTACTACCTCCTAATCTGTTGATAGGTTAAACTGTGTCTTTCCTTTACCCTCAAACCTTGTCCTCATCATTTTGATATACCACCAGGTACAAGGACATAGTTTTCAGTAATGCTACTACTTCAAATCCTCTGTTAAAAGACCAAGATTTAAGTAACAGCACTATTTTAAATCCTGTTAAAAGTTATTGAAGGGAATCTAGAAAATGTGACATCTTTTCACACCTAATTAGTCCTATACCTTCCTGACCTAATGAACATTTGTCCCCTCTGACTTGTGTTGCATTGCACCATTATTCCATCAGTTACTTATCTTTCAGGTGTTTATTGAGTAAGCACTTTTTGTTCCACATCATGAGCAGGTGGGTGAGTCTTGTGGAATGGAGATCTGGTCTATTGATGAAGGCCATGGGGCTGCCACTGCATTTCTCACAGTGAAGAATAACAATCATCAAGGGCACAAGCATGATGAAGAAGCTATAGATAGGGGCCAGCACTTCAGTGCAGTGCGTAAAGCTGCCGGTGGCATCCCATATGGGTGCTGGTTTGAGCCCTGGCTGCTCCACTTCCAATCCAGCTCTCTGCAGTAGAAGATGGCCCAAGAGCTTGGGCCCCTGAACTCACATTGGAGATCTGGTAGAAGCTCCTGGCTCCAGGCTTTGGATTGGCACAGCTTCAACTATTGCGGCCAGTTGGGGAGTGAACCAGCGGATGGAAGACTTCTCTCTCTGCCTCTGCTTTTCTCTCTGTGTAACTCTAACTTCCAAATAAAGAAAAAAATCTTAAAGAAAGAAGCTAGATAGTAATTGAGGAAGGAAGTGAAATATCTGTAAACTGAAAACTGTAAAATCTTGAGGTAAATTTTAGAACACAGAAATAAATAGAAAGAAATCCCATGTTCATGGCCTGGAAGGACTAATCGTGTTAAAATGTACATAATACTGAAAGCCATAAAGTGATGTAGTGCAATCCTGACAAAATTCTTATGTCATTTTTCACAGAAGTAGAAAAGAACGAAGGTTGCCAGGCTGGGAGTTTAGAGACCCAGGGAGATATTGGTCAAAGGAATCAGAATTTCAGTTAGACAAGACCAGTGAGTTCAAGTGCTGTCTTGCACATCATCATAGGAAAACAGGGACACCATTTTGTCCACTTGCAAAGTGCTTAGTCAGTAGACTTTAAGTGCAGTCAACATATACAGATGAGAAGCATGTGAAGTAAAATACACAGTAAAGACTTGAATGGAGCTAACTGCAATGTATATAGATATCAAATTGAATCATTTCCTTGGAAGCAAAATCAATGAAATTTAAAGTAATCCATTGAAAACATGCAAGGAAATTCTGTTGAGAATGTTTTCTCTGAAAAGTGAGGGAAATATGCGTGATGAGGAAGTCAGTGTTTGGAGCAGAGCATAGTTCCTTTCATTTGTCACATGGAAACCATGTAATGCTGACGGGGCTTCCAGAATTTTGAATGGGGAGAGCATCAGTGAAGTGGGAAACTGGATTAATAGTGTGCAGAGTTACATGTGGGAGTGAACTTGTACCCTTTTCTGGATATGCCTACACATTTACAATCACAAAGCCCATTTTTTCCCAGCAGAGTTCTGTAGACTTGAGAGTGATATTAGTTAGACACAGCAATGAAGAGTCTGGGTGGGGAGCACAGAGTCATCAATGATGAATATCAGCCCTTGACTTCTATCCTGCAGATACGTGGAATGATGCAACTGGATGTTTTGTTGATCCCAGCACCAACTCTTTCAGAACTAGCGAAACACACCAAGAAGGGCACTGGACTAACAGCCATTTGTGTGCTGTCCAATCATTCAGTGGTCCCCAGTGCCTTGTTGGGCCATGATGAAATCACACAAGGAGGAAAGGAATGAGAGTCCAAAACATGTTTTTCAAATGTGTTTTCCCCCAGAATGGAGGGTGACAGGTGCAGGGCCCCAGGGCAGGGTGATCCCTTGAGTTTCTGTATGAGACACAGTGAAGCAATGAAAAGGCTGAGTTCCAAGTGCTGTGCTGATCACAGGGACACTAAGGGCAATGTCTCACTGCATGTCTCACTTCCTTAGAAATGACTCCCTGTAGTTGCTAGATGTGCCCCTTTCTGACTCACTAGATTGGCACATAGCAATACTGGGAATCAGCTGCGCCCTGCACAGAGAGGAATTCTCTACAGGTTTTTGAGCCAGCTACCACCTGCCAGCTCCTTGTTCCCTTCTCTCAACTGACATTTTGGGCTTCATCTCTGCATTGTGACAACCCTGGCAAGATGTTGTCTATGAGCCTTCTGTGCCTACTCCTGCACACTATACACACTTCACAGGGCATGACTTACAGCCAATGCCATCATTACTTTAAGCCAAGTATCAACCAAGATGGAGACCTGATCCTGGGTGGATTTTTCCCTCTCTACTACCCAGAACCAGAAACTGAAAAGCTCCAGATGTCTTTTATACATGGTCCCCAGCGTAGAACTGTTGTGTCTTGGTAAGTTCGAGATTGTATGCATGTATTAAGTGTGGTTATGTTTGAATGTGAGTGTATATTACTATGTCTGTGTTTAATCCTTTCTGAGAATTCTGGAAGGTATGCAGAAAGTGGCAGAAATGCCAATAAAGAAGGGCACAGATTTCCTCCTTTATTGTTCCTTCCATGTCTTCCTGTTCATTTTTCTATTTGCTTCTTAGTTCTTCAGGGACAGAGCAGTGACATTAATATCTCTGTGCCCACTCCATTGTCTTGGATATCTCAGAAGCAGCCCTGGGCATCTTGGAATGAGTCATAATGTGGGGACTCCAGATCCCATCCTACCTGCTTGCATGGAGTGAGCACAGGTGTCCTGAGACACTGAGACCCTGGTCTGGGGTCAGCGTTAGGATTAAGGGATCACTCTGAGTGTCAGTACTGACAAGAGCATAGTCAAAATGCACCCGAGAGTGAGTCCATGTGTGTCTGAGATGTGCCACCATAACAGACGGTGTCTAACCACATGTCAATAACTGAGCCCCAACAGACTGCAGGCATCAAGTCCCTGAAAGTCATAAGGAGAAAGGGGTTTATCTTCTCCAATTCTTTCACTTGGATCCTGAAGGTTCTTCTCCAGGAACCACACAGAAACCGCATTAATTCTGGGCTTGACGCACCTGAGCAGCATGTGTTTTAGTAACTGTTAACATTAATGTGTGGTGAGGATTAGAAACAGATATCCTGTCTCTGCACCCTTGGTGGTGGTGACAGTGGAGTGTGCTTCTGACTCACTGCAGAGAACCATATGCTCATGTGTTCAGAAGAGGGTGAGGCAGAGAGATGTTGGTTTAAATGGTGTGTGTTGGTGCTTGTCAGTGCCTTTTGGAATTTAATGCTTATCAGTTCAGCAGGTTGCCAAGCACTGGGGGCAACTGATAATGGGGCTGGTGACCTTTGAGGCACAGTGTTACCGTGTGCTCTCTCCTAGTCTGTGTTTTCACAGTGTTCTGTCCCTTCTCAATGTTTCATTGATTTTGTCTGTTCTTAATTTGTATATTCTTAGCCAAGATGCCTAATGGGACATTTATGGTAAACATTTTAAGCATGTGAATCTTCTGGTTGTGTGGCAGCTACGGATTGTACTCTGTCTGATATAGGGAGATAGGAAGTGATTATCTGAAGGTGAGTTAATCTCTCATCTCAGGGATGCTGTGTGGGAGACAGGGAGGACCTGCCTTGTGGTAATCTTAGGGTGAAAGCTTTAGATCATGCCATGAAGAGGAGGCCAGGCTTTTCTCTCTGCCTTCTCTTCCCCAGGTAGAAAAGTGTCTGGCCACTCTTTTTTGTGCAGACCTGCCAGCCCTCTTGTGCTTGTCACAGTCTAAAATTGCATATGCTTCAATCCCCTTGATGGGCTCAGATGATTGATGCTTTCTGGAGTTTGACTTCAAGCTCCAGCTTCAATACAGGGAAATAACTTCCCTACAGCTGATGGAAGATATGTTGTTATTTGCCTGACTGACAGGAATTATTTTATGTGCATATCCCACACTTGTTTACCCACTATTTGGCCTTTGACTTGGCATTCATTTTGTGTGACTGTAACACTCTGATGATAATTATTATTTAATAAACTGTATATTTTTCTGAGATGATAGGATACATCATTGAATAATGAGATAAAGTTTTTTATCAAGATTCTTTAAAATAGTTACCAAATCATTGCTGATAAAACTGCAGATGTTCATCACCCACTTACAAATCCCCATAGTCCTTTTCAGTGTCTCCACATCCTTCATTCTTTCTCTCCTGCATACCACTCATTTGTCTTGTGTCTGTAAGGATCAGCCTGTTATGGACATTTCATGTGAATTGATTCATATCCTTTGTGGTCTTTTGTGATGACATCTTGCAGTGCACCATGTTTTCCTGTTTTATCCATGCTGTGGCTTGCAGCAATATTTAGTATACTTTTCTCAAAATATCTTAATATCTAAGTCTACCTTGGTGTCAGCCACTCCTGTTTACTCAAAATTATATCTCTGCTAAAAAAAACTGACAACATTGTCTTCAGGGACAAAGAATTAAGCTAGCCAACTTTAAGCTGATAGCAAGTGCTATAAATATCCTGGGGTGAATGCGTTATGCCCTTCGAAATGAAATATTATACTACGAAGGCCAAATCTATAACAGAAAAAAGTTTATTCAATGGATCTGGCTGAAAAGCCCATGAGAGTATTTCAGGCATGGAAAGCCAAGACACTCTGGCAAAAAGATCTCTGTGAGTGAGATCCCAGTGGAACGAACAGGTCTTCAAAGAGGGAGGTGCCTTTCTCTGAAGGGAGGAGAGAACCTCCACTTTGACTATGACCGTGTCTAAACAAGATAAGAGTCGGAGAACTCAAGGGGCTTCCATAGCCTTGGAAACTCATGACTGGTGCATAGGGAGATTACTGATGCCATAAACAGGAGTGTCAATTTGTAAAGTCAACAACAGGAGTCACTGTGCACTTACTCCTCATGTAGGATCTCTGTCCTTAATGTGCTGTACACTGAGGCTTAATGCTATAACGAGTACTCAAACAATATATTTCACTTTGTGTTTCTATGGGGTTCAAACGATTGAAATCTTTACTTAATGTACACTAAACTGATCTTCTGTAAAAAAAAAAAAAAAGAAATTATCAATTCCCAACTTGACTCTCACTGGGATTAAACATGACAATAGGTCTGATCTGATTTCATCATCACTTAAAAAAATCATCTATTATTTTTCACTTTATGTCTCTGTGTGGGAGCAAACTGTTGAAATCGTTACTTAAGGTATACTAAGCTGATCTTCTGTATATTAAGATAATCGAAAATGAATCTTGATGTGAATGGAAGGGGAGAGGGAGTGGGAAAGGGGAGGGTTGTGGGTGGGAGGGACGGTATGGGGGGGGAAGCCATTGTAACCCATGAGTCGTACTTTGGAAATTTATATTCAGTAAATAAAAGATAAAAAAAAATAAATAAAAAAAATAAATTTATTAAATAAAAGTAAAAAAAAATTTATCATTCAAATAAATAGAGCTAAGCTATGGACACATGCCAGGAACACAATTTATTTCCCGGGTCAACTTCATTGTTAACAAGTAAGGAAGTCCTCTGCATGATCTGAAAACCTCATGGGATTATATGTATATAGAAGGGTGATTTTTACCTATCAGATACAATTAAATTTCAAACTCCACAAATAAGAGTAACATGTACAACACTGTGTGACATAATAGAGAAATACCTTTCAACTATAAGCAAAGCATTGCCAATTACAAACTGTATGAATATATATTGTAATATTGAGGAAAAGGACAAATTCTTAGTTATGCCCCAAATAGAAACATATCCAAGTGCAAATGACTAAAGGAATGTCTGGATAAATATATTGAGTCCCATGTAACTTATTACCAGAAAGGAATTTTCTTAGCATTCAAATTATGGAAGAAATGTAATAAATTAGAAAAATCCAGAATTCCAAAGGAATGCATAGTGAGATAACAGAACATATACCCTTTTAGGTACATAAAACAGGAAAGCTCTTCTTAAATTCTAAGAAATCAAATTTTCACTTAAGTTACATAGAAAAATGGAGAGAACATGCAAATATAAAATATGAAATGATAATTCAATACAGAGAAAAATGAAAACCAAGTGAACATCTCCAATTATCCAACAGAGTTTATGAATAAATTCTTATGTTTGAAAGAAAACAAAAAGTTTAAGCTGACTTGAACAGAGTGAAATATTGTATTAGGAAATTATAGCAAGGACAGGGGTCAAATGGCTCAGGTGGACCTAGCTGAAGAGGAGAATGTTCTAAAATTTGGGACAACTGATGAGTCAGGTGGTATTCAGCCTACTCCAGAAATTACTGAAAACAGAAATGCTTGCTCCTGGGTGTTGTCCTTAGGTTGGGACACATCGAGGAAAGGGTTCCTGAAGGTGAGTGTGAGAACAGACATGGTTGATTTCAGAGGAGTTCAAGGGCCATTCCACAATCTTCTAGAGCACTTGGAACTTCACTCACACCTCCTCCTTTTGCCAGAGCTGAGGCACCACTGAGTGGAAACCTGAGTCTGATCATTGCTGCTTCAGGGCGGGGCTGTGTTGTTGCTCCAAATTCCATAGTCTCACCCTTTTCCCTGATGCTGCTCCTCTCTTTAGGTGGCTGTGGAAGAACTACCAATATGTGCTGGCCTTCCGCTTTGCCATCCAGGAGATCAATAAAAACCCCCAGCTACTCCCCAACCTGACCCTCGGTTTCAAATTCTACAATGCCTTTGCCAGTGAACAGTACACCTTATTGAGCATAGTGTATTGGTTGTTTGGGGCCACTATGCCTTTACCTAACTACACCTGCCATACACAAGGCAGACATGTTGCCATCATTGCTGGAACCACATCAGCGTTGTCTGTTGAATTTGGAACGCTTTTGGAGCTCTACAAAACCCCACAGGTAATGAGTTGTGAATCTGGAGAACAGTAGTTGAATCTCCTCCAACACTATTCTCTCACCTCTGAAGGAAGGGAAATGGGGCATCTCCCTGTGGTATAAGACTGACCCCATGGGAATTCCTGGGGTGATTAATAGTGGAGGGAGAAGAAACAAAAGGAAGTAGCAGGGAATGCTGAGAGCCTCCCCCCAGATGACTGTCTAGGGCCTGTGTATCCATCCCCCACCAGCTGGAGACATTGGCAAATACAGCTCCATACTGCATCAGAAATGTCCACAGCACACAGAGGTATCCTGTCCTAGTGCAGCACTGTCTCGGGAGGGATCCAGAGACCAAGCAATATTAGATGTTAAGATATGAAGTCCTGCTCATATGGTTTCTGTTTGGGCAAATCTGATGGCTATGTGAGTTCCAAAGATTTCCAAGGCAGGTTTTTAAGATGATTGATTTATTTGAAAGCACAGCACAATTGGGAAAGTTATAACCACCACCCTGACATGGAGAGGGAGAGAGGGAGGGAAAGGGAGAGAGAGAATGGGAGAGAGAGCTTCTATTCACAGGTTTACTCCATAAATGCCCACAATAGCCATATATGAGTCAGGTAGAAGCCAGGAGCTAGGAACTGAATGCAGATCTCCTACTTAAGTGGCTATGGTCCAGCACTTGTGTCATGTTCTGCTGCCTTTTCAGGCATGTTTGCAGGAAGGTGGATAAGAAGTGGTGTAGCCACGCCTTGAACTGGATGGAGTTCTGAAATGGGATGCTGGTGTTACAAGTTGGAACTTAACTCATCTGACCCAAACTGGCTACACCCAGAATGTTGAGGCTCAATTCAAGTTAGACTGGAATTCACCTAATCCCTGTGCCCAATCATCCCTTTTTCCCAGGCACACAAATTGATTTCTTTGCAGCATTCCTAGTGATAATTGTGCTTACTAGTCCTCATGTCTTGCTGTTTTTATTTGAGGGCCAGGGAAATACACACATAGACACACACACACACAAACACAGACAGACACAGAATTCCCATCCGCTGCTTCACTCACCAATACCTCCCATGATGTTGGACTTAATCTGCCACAGCAGAAGCATAGAGCCAGGAATGAAACCCCATATGAATGTAATAAATCAAATTACTTGAGCTATAATTATTGTCTCCCAGAGTCTGCACTAGCAACTTAGATATACTTCACCAGTGACCTGCTACACAAACAAAAATCAGGACATGTATCTGCCAAACAGGCCACCTGGTGATCAGAGGATTCTGGTTTGGAAAAATTATTTTGCCCCAAATCAAAGAAGGTTGGTGATTGTATCCTTGGAGACAACGCAGGATTCCTGTGGTAATCAGTGCACTCCAGATACAAAGAGATCAACACAGTAGAGATTTCTGTCTCAGAGTTATCTACAATGGTGGCTGCTGGAGGAGGTGGCTCTGCTCCACCAGTCATCCTGGGAAAGGATGGGGAAAGACCACTGGCTGGGTGAAGTAGCATCCAAAGTTCCTTCTTCTCAGTCCCCACTGCAGCACAGGAAGAGCATACAGAAACTGACAGATTTTCTTTAAGTGTACATTTATTAACCTAAAGCAATGGGCATGTGAAGCATGGTCTTCTCTGTGGCCAAGATAGCAGGATTTGTCCATTCCTGCCATGCACTTTGTCTTTACTCAGTAGCATACTGCAGAAGGAATCCCTTGTTTAGAATTTTTTTCACTCGCTTCTAAGAGTGAGAACCCAAATCCCACAAAAGTTTGATCGTGTTTTTCTTTGCTTTTAGCTCACCTATGGCCCTTTTGATCCCATGCTAAATGATAAGGACCAGTTTCCCTCACTCTATCAGATGGCCAGCAGTGACAGCTCTTTGGGCCATGGAATGATCTCCTTGTTGCTGCATTTTGGCTGGACTTGGGTGGCTCTCTTTGTGTCTGATGACATGAAGGGAGAGCAGTTCCTTCAGTACTTTGAAGCAGCGATGCTCAAGAAAGGAATCTGTGTGGCCTTTACAGTGAAGCTCCCTGTCACAAAGAAGTTGTATGCGGGTAGTGATCTCACTTTCATGAGTAGCATCAGAGTTTCATCTGCAAATGTGCATATACTCTATGGTGATGTAAGAGGTCTCATCAGTGTGGACATTTCAGTGCAGTCATTTTTAACCATGGGGAAGGTGTGGATCATGACATCAAAGTGGGATCTTGTCATTTCTGAGACAAACCACATTCTGCACTCTTTGCATGGAGGCTTCTCTTTTTCACCCCACAAGGAAGAAATCCCTGGCCTCAAACTTTTTGTCAAGACGGCAAAGCCTTCTCACTACCCAGAAGACTTTTACTTCAGTAAATTATGGCTTTTTCATCTGGACTGCTCACTTGCAGGATCATTTTGTGGACATATTGGAACCTGCTCACCAAATACTTCCTTAGAGTTTCTTCCAGGACACATTGACTTGCTGACCATATCTGACTCCAGCTATTTAGTCTACAATGCTGTCTACACAGTGGCCCACGTCCTCCATAAAATGATTTTGGAGAAAGTAGAAATGAGATCCTTAGCAGAAGCATCCCAGCCCATGATTCTTCCCTGGCAGGTAAACCTCCCCTGGAACAGAACAGACACTACCCACTTGATGGAATCTAGAGATGTTTTATTGAGGTACAGCATCATGACCCTGCTCTCATTTCAAGGTCAACAGGATTGCAATAAATGATTTTTTTAAAATTTATTTCTTTATTTGAGTGGTAGAGTTACAGAGAGAGGGAGAGACAGAGAGAAAGGCCTTCCATCTGCTGGTTCCCTTTCCAAATAACTGCAATGGCTGCAGCTGGGCTGATCAAAGCCAGGTGCCTGGATCTTCTTCTGGGTCACCCACATGGGTTCAGGGGCCCAAGCACTTGGACCTGGAAGCTGGGTTCTTTCCATTGGTTACAGCTGTATCTGTGATTGTTGACTTTGGCTGGAGTTTTCAGTCATTGCAGATTTTGAATGTATACTATTAGAAATTGTATCAGAAAATAGTGTTTTTTTACTTTGCATAACTAAGACTTTCAAATTTTATTTATTTAAAGGGCACAGATTTCATGTATTTATATGTCAATGTAAGAAAAATAACAACACTTCCCACCCTTTCTCCCTCACTCCCACCCTTCATCCTCCTTCTTTTATATTTCTTTTAATTCTTGTGATAACATACTTTCAGCTTACTTTATAATCATATGCTTAAACCTCTACTAAAGAAGGTATTTAACCAGTAGTAAGTAGATCACTTTCTCAGGAGTATAGTCTACGTGGGCTATAAATAATAATGAAATCTCAGGATATCTGTGTCACTCATTTATGTTTATATTTAAAAATGCATACAAACAATAAGTAAAATGAACATATAATTAGATCTGTACTATTAAGTTTAGTCTCTGAAAATATTTTAGTGAATAATTCTCATCTTTATCAGAACCCATTATTTTTTTAACTTTTATTTAATGAATATAAATTTCCAAAGTACGATTTATGGATTACAATGGCTTCCCCCCCATACCGTCCCTCCCACCCAGTACCCTCTCCTGCTCACACTCCAAATCATCCCCCTCCTCCCTCTCCAATTCCAACTCTTAATTTTTGCAAATATCTATTTCCAGTTTACTTAATGATCGTATGGTTAACCCTACACTAAGTAAAAGAGTTCAACAAATAGTGTGAAGAAAAAACCTCTCTCTTCTTCAGCAGAAGAGACAAGGGTTGTAAACCGTTATTAAATCTCAAAATGTTTGTTTCACTCCAATACATTATATTTCAGGTACTGTAATAGTTACCTTGGTTCAGAGAAAATATATGGTATCTATCTTTTTGGGACTGGCTTATTTCACTAAGTATGATGGTTTCCAGTTGCATCATTACAAAAGGCAGGATTTCATTTTTTTCAGCTGAGTAGTATGCCATAGTGTATATATGCCATAATTCCTTTATCCAGTCAATAGTTGATGGATGTCTGGGGTGAATCCATATCTTAGCTATTGAAAATTGTGCTGTAATGAACATGAGGGTACAGATAACTCCTTCAGGTGCTGATTTCTTTTGGTTTGGGTAAATTCCCAGGAGTGGGATGGCTGGATCATATGGTAGGTCTGTATTCAGGTTTTTTTTTTAAATAGAAAGCTTTTATTTAATAAATATAAATTTTCAAAGTACAACTTCTGTGGTTCTTCCCCCCATACCCACCCTCCTACAATCCCAAACAATCCCAAACAATCCCACCACTTACTAGTGCTCCCATCCCATTCTTCATTGATTTATTTTTAATTATCTTCGTATACAGAAGATCAACTCTGTACTAAAAGTAAAGATTTCAACAGTTGGCACCCACACAAACACACAGAGTATAATGTACTGTTTGAAGACTAGTTTTACTGTTAATTCTCATAGCACAATACATTAAGGACAGAGACCCTACATGGGGAACAAGTGTAGAGTGATTCCTGTTGTTGATTTAACAATTGACAGTCTTATTTATGATGTCAGTGATCAACCGAGGCTCTTGTCATGAGCTGCCAAGGCTATGGATGCCTCTTTTTTTAACTTTTATTTAATGGATATAAATTTCCAAAGTATGACTTATGGATTACAATGGCTTCCCCCCCATACTGTCCCTCCCACCTGCAACCCTCCCCTTTCCCACACCCTCTCCCCTTCCACTCACATCAAGATTCATTTTTGATTATCTTAATATACAGAAGATCAGCTTAATATACATTAAGTAAGGATTTCAACAGTTTGCTCCCACACAGAAACATAAAGTGAAAAATAATAGATGATTTTTTAAATGATGATGAAATCAGATCAGACCTATTGTCATGTTTAATCCCAGTGAGAGTCAAGTTGGGAATTGATAATTTTTTTTTTTTTACAGAAGATCAGTTTAGTATGCATTAAGTAAAGATTTCAACAGTTTGCACCCCCATAGAAACACAAAGTGAAATATACTGTTTGAGTACTCGTTATAGCATTAAATCTCAATGTACAGCACATTAAGGACAGAGATCCTACATGAGGAGTAAGTGCACCGTGACTCCTGTTGTTGACTTTACAAATTGACACTCCTGTTTATGGCATCAGTAATCTCCCTATGCACCAGTCATGAGTTTCCAAGGCTATGGAAGCTCTCTGAGTTCTCTGACTCTTATCTTATTTAGACAAGGTCATAGTGAAAGTGGAGGTTCTCTCTTCCCTTCAGAGAAAGGTACCGCCTTCTTTGAAGACCTGTTCTTTCCACTGGGATCTCACTCACAGAGATCTTTTGCCAGAGTGTCTTGGCTTTCCATGCCTGAAATACTCTCATGGGCTTTTCAGCCAGATTCGAATGCCTTTAGGGCTGATTCTGAGGCCAGAGTGCTATTTAGGACATCTGCCATTCTATGAGTCTGCTGAGTATCTCACTTCCCATGTTGGATCACTCTCCCCTTTATTTATTCTATCGGTTAGTGTTAGCAGTTACTAGACTTGTTTATGTGCTCCCTTTGACTCTTAGTCCTTTCATTATGATCAATTGTGAACTGAAATTGATCACTTGGAATAGTGAGATGGCATTGGCACATGCCACCTTGATGGGATTGAATTGGAATCCCCTGGTATGTTTCTAACTCTACCAATTGGGGCAAGTCAGCTTGAGCATGTCCCAAATTATACATCTCTTCCCTCTCTTATTCCCACTCTTATGTTTAACAGGGATCACATTTCAGTTAAATTTCAACACTTAAGAATAACTGTGTGATAATTACAGAATTAAACCAGTCATATTAAGTAGAACAGACAAAAAAACTACTAAGAGGGATAATGTATTAAGTTGTCCATTAGCAGTCAGGGCTATGCTGATCAAGTCACCATTTCTCATAGTGTCCATTTCACTTCAGGAGGTTTCCTTTTTGGTGTTCAGTCAGTTGTCACTGATCAGGGAGAACATATGGTATTTGTCCCTTTGGGACTGGCTTACTTCACTCAGCATGATGTGTTCCAGATTCCTCCATTTTGTTGCAAATGACTGGATTTCTTTGTTTCTTACTGCGGTATAGTATTCTAAAGAATACATATCCCATAATTTCTTTATCCAGTCTACCGTTGATGGGCATGTAGGTTGGTTCCAGGTCTTGGCTATTGTGAATTGTGCTGCGATAAACATTAGGGTGCAGACAGCTTTTTTGTTTGCCAATTTAAATTCCTTTGGATAAATTGCTTTGAATATATTGAGGAATGTTCCTTCTATACCCAATTTGCTTAGAGTTTTCATCATGAAAGTCTGTTGAATTTTATTGAATGCTTTCTCTGCATCAATTGAGATAATCGTATGCTTTTTCTTTTGCAGTCTGTTAATGTGGTGAATCACGTTGATTGATTTGCGAATGTTGAACCAAACCTGCACACCAGGGATGAATCCCACTTGGTCTGGGTGGATGATTTTCTTGATGTCTTAGCTATTGTTAATTGAGCTGAGATAAACATTGAGCTTTTTTTTTTTTGCCAATTTAAATTCCCTAGTGTAAATTTCAAGGAGTGGGAAGGCTGAGTCATAGGGTAGGGCTATATTTAGAGAGAGAGAGAGAGAGAAAGAGAAAAATTGAGAGGGTCTTACATCCAATGGAATGCTTTCCAATTGGCCACAAGGATAGAGCAGCACTGTTTTGAAGCCAGGAGCCAGGAGCTTCTTCCGGGTCTCCCAAATGGGTGCAGAGGTCCAAGGACTTAGACCATCTTCTACTGCTTTCCCAGGCCATAGCAGAGAGCTGGATCAGAAGTGGAGGAGCTAGTCTCCAACTGGCACCCATATGGGTTGCTGGTGCTTTAGGCCAGGGTGTTAACCTGCCGTGCCACAGCCCCAACCCCCATAGTGACTTTTCCAGTTTGCATTCTCACCAAAAGTGCATTAGTGTGCCTTTTTCCTCATATCCTCACCAGCATCTGTTGTTCATTGATTTCTCTATGAAATCCATTCTAAACTGGGTGAGGCGAAACCATATTGTGGTTTTGATTTGCGTTTCCCTGATGGCTAGTGGTCCTGAACATTTTTTCATGTGTCTGTTGACCATTTTGATTTCCTCTTTTGAAAAACGTCTGTTTAGGCCCTTGGCCCATGTCTTAAGTGGGTTGTTGTTTTGTTGTGGTGGAGTTAGTTTATCTCTTTGTAGATTCTGGCTATTGATTCTTTATCAGTTGCATAGTTTGCAAATATTTTTCCCATTCTGTTGGTTGCCTCTTCAGTTTCCTGACTTTTTTTTTTTGCGTTACATAAACTTCTCAATTTGATGTAATCCCAGTTGTTAATTTTGGCTTTGACTTCCTGTGCTTCTGGGGTCTTTTCCAAGAAGTCTTGGCCTGTGCCTACGTCTTGCAGGTTTTCTCCAAAGTTCTCTAATAATTTGATGGTGTCAGGTCATAAATTTAGATCTTTAATCCATGTTGGAGGGATTTTTGTGTAAGGTGTAAAGTGTGGAAATTCAGTTTCCGCAGCACCATTTGTTGAATAGACTGTTCTTGCTCCAGGAATTGGTTTTAACTCCTTGGTCAAAAATAAGTTGGGGGGCCGGTGCTGTGGCACAGTGGGTTAAAGCCCTAGCCCGAAGCACTGGCATCTCATATGGGCACTGTTTCTAGTCTCAGCTTCTCCTCTTCTGATCCAGCTCTCTGCTATGTCCTGGGATAGCAGTAGAAGATGGCCCAAGTCTTTGGGCTTCTGCCTCTATGTTGGAGATCTGGAAGAAGCTCCTTCTCCTGGCTGCGGATCGGCGCTGCTCTAGCAGTTGCGGCCATCTGGGGCGTGAACCAGCAGATGGAAGACCTCTCTCTATTGTCTCTGACTCTCTCTGTAACTCTGCATTTCATATAAATTAAATAAATCTTATAAAATAGAAGTTGGTTATAGATGTTTGGATTGATTTCAGGTGTTTCTGTTCTGTTCCATTGGTCTATCCATCTGTTTTTGTACCAGTACTAGGCGATTTTGATTATAACTGCCCTGTAGTATGTCTTGAATCTGTTATTGGGATGCCTCTAGCTCTGTTTTTGTTGTATAAGATTGCTTTGGCTATTCGAGGTCTCCTGTGCCTCCATATGAATTTCAGCATTTTTTTTCCAAATCTGAGAAGAACATCTGATATTTTGATTGATATCACATTGAATCTATAAATTGATTTTGGAAGAATGGACATTTTGATGATATTGATGATTCCAATCCACAACCATGTAAAATTTCTTCATTTTTTGGTATCTTCTTCTATTTCTGTAAAGTTTTGTAATTCTCATCATAGAGTTCTTTGACATCTTTGGTTAAGTTTACTCCAAGATATTTAATTTTTTTTAGCTATTGTGAGTGATATTGATCTTAGAAGTTCTTTTTTAGCTGTGGCATTTCCTGTGTATACACAGGCTGTTGATTTTTGTACATAGTTTTTATATCCTGGTACATAGCCAAACTCTTCTATGAGTTCCAATAATATCTTAGTAGAGTTCTTTGGATCCTCTAAATAAAGAATCATATCATCTGCAAAGAGGGATAGTTTGACTTCTTCCTTTCCAATTTGTATCCCCTTGATTTCTTTTCTTTTCTTTTGCCTAATGGCTCTGGCTAAAACTTCTAGTACTGTATGAAATAGCAATGATGAGAATGGGCATCTCTGGTATTGGATCTCAGTGGGAATGCTTGCAACTTTTCTCCACTGAGTAGAATGCTGGCCGTGTGTTTGTCATAAATTTCCTTTATTGTGTTGAGGAGTGTTCCTTCTATACACAGTTTACTTAGAGTTTTTCACCATGATAGGGTGTCGTATTTTTTCAAATGCTTTCTCTGCATCTATTGAGATAATCATATGGTTTTCTTCTGCAGGTTGTTAATGTGGTATATCACATTGTTTGATTTGTGAATGTTGAACCATCCCTGCATACCAAAGATAAATCCCAAGTGGTCTGGGTGGATGATATTTCTGATGTGGTGTTGCATTCTATTGGCTAGAATCTTATTGAGGATTTTTGTGTCCATGTTCATAAGGGAATTGTTCTGTAATTCTCTTTCAATGTTGCATCATGTTTAAGTTTAGGAATTAAGGTGATGCTGGCTTCATAGAAAGAATTTGGGAGGATCCCTCTGTTTCAGTTGTTTTGAATAGCTTGAGAAGGATTGGAGTTGGTTCTTTACATTTCTGGTAGAATTCATCAGTGAATGCATCTGGCCTGGGCTTTTCTTTGTTGTGAGGGCCTTTATTACTGATTCAATTTCTGTCTTGATTATGTGTCTGTTTAGGTTTTCTATATCTTCATGGTTCAAGGTAGGTCTTAGGTGTCCAGGAATCTATCCATTTCTGCTAGATTTCCCAGTTTGTTGGCATACAACTCTTTGTAGTAATTTCCGCTACCTCTTTTAATTTCTGTGGTGTCTGTTGTTACATTCCCTTTTTCATCTCTATTTTTATTGATTTCGGTCTTCTCTCTCCTTTTTTTGGTTAGTTGGGCCAATGGGGTGTCAATTTTGTTTATTTTTTTAAAAGTACCTCTTCGTATTGCCGATTTTTGGTAATGTTTTTTAGATTCAAATTTGTTGATTTCTTCTCTAATTTTAATTACAGATTTTGTTGCTGGTGGATTTCTTAAGAGAGCCATTCTAACAGGAGTGAAGTGAAACCTCATTGTGGTTTTGATTTGCATTTCCCTGATGGCTAGTGATCCTGAGCATATTTTTAAGTGTCTGTTGACAATTTGATTTTCCTCTTTTGAAAAATGCCTATTCAAGTCCTTTGCCCATTTATTTCTTAATGGGGTTGTATTTTTTGTTGTTGAATTTCTTAAGCTCTTTATAGATACTGCATGTTAACCCTTTATCAGTTGCATAGTTTGCAAATACTTTCTTCCATCTGTTGATAGCCTCTCCATTTTGCTGAGTGTTTCCTTTGGAGTGCAGTAGCTTTTCGGCTTGATGTAATCTCATTTGTTAATCTTGGCTTTGATTGCCTGTGCTTCTGGGGTCTTTTCAAGAGTCTTTGCCTATGCCAAAGTCTTGCAGAATTTCCCCAATGTTCTCTAGTAATTTGATGGTATTGGGTCATAGATTTAGGCCTTTGATCCATTTTGAGTGTGTTTTTGTGTAAGTTGTAAGGTATGGGTCTAATTTTACACTTCTGTAAGTGGAGATCCAGTTTCCCCAGCACAATTTGTTGAGGAGATTGTGCCTTCTTCAGGGATTTATTTTAGTTCTTTTGTCAAATATAAGTTGGTTGTGGATGCATGGATCGATTTCTGGAGTTAAGAGCCCATTACATTTATTCTCTTCTGTTTGTTGACTTACTTTTTCAGGGATTTCTGTTGAACTTCATCTGATATGTTACGCAGGACAAAGTGCTTCAAGAATTCGATTGCAGGTCATGAGAAAACAAAGATAAACAAATGGGTCAAATTTTTTGAAATTATGCAAAAACCAGAATATATGGCCATATTGGATAGTAGTTATTACATTTGTATTCCTGTATACACTGTGGCCCATGTGCTTAGGAGATACATTTTTTGAAAGTAGAAATGAGTTCTCCGTAATATCCTAAGATGACTCTGGGAAATACAGTGTGTTACAAAATCTGCAAGAATCAAGGATCAGAAATTGTGGTCATATTTCTTATATATGAGACTATTGAGGATGCACATTAGTTAGCACAGGATATGTCCTCTGGGTTACAGATGGTTTTGCCTAGATTTTCCTCACAGCTTATTTGAATCTACTCTTTCCCCATATATAGAATATATTTAGGAAGTTCTGTTTGCATGTGAAAAGTACAAATAGATGAATAAATTTGTTGAACAAATAGGTGTGTTATGTAGAAGACAAATATGTATATGTAAAAAATAACATCAGAAAGTTCACTTCATAATCTATCTTCTATTTTACTTATAGGAGTGTTTTATTTTTTATTTTATTTTTTATTTTTTTGACAGGCAGAGTGGACAGTGAGAGAGAGAGAGAGACAGAGAGAAAGCTCTTCCTTCACTGTTGGTCCACCTCCAATGGCCGCTGTGGCCAGCGTCCTGTGGCCAGTGCACCACACTAATCTGAAGGCAGGAGCCAGGTGCTTCTCCTGGTCTCCCATGTGGGTGCAGGGCCCAATCACTCATACCATCCTCCACTGTACTCCCGGGCCACAGCTGAAAGCTGGACTGGAAGAGGGGCAACCGGGACAGAATCCAGTGCCCTGACCGGGACCAGAACCTGGTGTGCTGGCGCCACAAGGTGGAGGATTAGCCTATTGAACTGTGGCGCCGGCCGAGCATTTTATTTTTATTTGTGATTAGATTCACACTTTAGAAAAGTAGACAGAATTCTTCCACAGAAATAACTATGGATTATTTGGAAATCTTCTACAAATTATTTAAGAATTAATTGATAGCTATTTCAATATAAAAACTTAGTTTTATCCTGCAGCAGGTGTGTTGTACCCAGAATGTCAAGGGTTAACATATACTATCAGTAACCTCAGGACCATCAGTATATTTGTTTTTGGCCATACAGTCCTACCTGGAATGTCAAAGATAATCACACTTACCATAAAAAGTGACCCAAAATATTTAGAGAAAAAACACTCATGTATTATTTCAAGCTCTGTTAAGATATAAATGCATATATCTACGTATCATTGCATATATAGAAGACATGCACACATTTTTATAAATATGGATCTCAGTGCTAAGAGGGGTCTTGAGTCATTTCATGGAAAATGTATACGATGAAATTAGCATACATGTTTATCTAATTTTTCAATCAAAATAACTGATATTTCATTCTGTTTTTGAACCTCATGAAGACCCTGTGTATGCACATAACTGTGACATATCACAACTGTCAAGGTATTTAAAAGACCAACCATGTTGTACTCAATTGTTTATATTAGGGTTAGCTTCCATAAAGCCCCACCTAAACCTTCTGGCTGCAGCAGAGCCTTGCAATAGTTCCCCTCTGAACCCCACAAACTACAATTTTTCTGACTGGATACAACCATTCTACTTTTATATTTGGGGGGCGGGGAACAAATGTTCTCTTCACTAGAAGTTGTTGACCATCCAAAGAATTAAACCTGGAACATAGAGAGGAGGGTAGAAAATGCTTGTTCAGTGCATATACATCTCCCTCTAATTTGAAAGGTCTCCCTGTTTCCACTTATTCCTGTTCTCCAGCTTCATCCAATCCTGAGGAAAATCCAGTTTACAAACCGTGCTGGAGATGATGTGTCTTTCCATGAAACAAGACACCATGTGGTACATTATGATATTCAGAACATTGTAAATTTTCCTGCTGGATTTCGGTTGCTGGTTAAAATTGGAGAATTTTCCTCTAAGAGTCCACATGACCAAGATTTGCTGATCAATGAAGACATTATAGAATGGCCTGTTGGATTCAAAAAGGTGCATTTTCTTTTTATATTGGATAACTACTACAGAGAGATCTGAGTAGAGCCTTGGGAGATTAAGTGTGAAGTGACCATGTGATTCCCATTTCCCATCTTGGCACTTAACTGATGGTGTTCCTTACACATATCCTGAGCTAACACCTATCAGAAGAGCATGAGTGCATAGCCTTACCTTTTCAGTTTTGTCATAATTATTGATGTAGCAGTTGAGTTAAAACTAGACAAAGTTAATGAATAGAGGCAGAGACCCAAGCATAGATATACAGATCTTTAACATATCTCTGTATATAATCTCAACTTTTTAATCTCATAAGTCACAGTCTTTCTTATTTTTTTTAAATTTTTTATTTCAATGGCAGAGTTAGAGAGAGGAGAGAAGTGAGGGGAGATATCTTCTGTCTGCTGGTTTATTCCACCAATGGACAACAGGCAGGGCTGTACAGGTCCAAAGTCAGGAGCCAGGAGTTGCTTGTGGGTCACTCATGTGGGTCAGGGGTCCAAACACTTGGTCCATTCTCTGCTGCTTTCCAAGGCATGTTAGCAGGGAGGTGGATTGGAAGTGGAGCAGCTGGGAATAGAAATGGTGCCCATATGGGATGCTGGTGCAGCAGGAGGTGATTTAATGTGCTACACCACAAGACTGGCCCCCTTGTTTTATATGTATATATATATGTATATATATATATATTTAACAGGCAGAGTGGACAGTGAGAGAGAGAGATAGAGAAAGTCTTCCTTTGCCGTTGGTTCACCCTCCAATGGCCACCGTGGCCAGTGCACCACACTGATCTGAAGGCAGGAGCCAGGTGCTTTTCCTGGTCTCCCATGGGGTGCAGGGCCCAAGCACTTGGGCCATCCTCCACTGTACTCCCTGGCCACAGCACAGAGCTGGCCTGGAAGAGGGGCAACCAGGACAGAATCCGGCGCCCTGACCGGGACTAGAACCCAGTGTGCTGGCACCGCTAGGCAGAGGATTAGCCTATTGAGCTGCAGCGCCAGCCCTGCCCTTGTTATATTTTCATGCATGATAAGTAGAAATACATAATGGGTTGACTTATTCATCTTCTTGCAGATACTATTCCCATATTCCTTTAGAACATAGAATAATGCATTTTAAAGATTTTAGATAAAGTGACTTGATATGCATGACAAATGCCCAAGGGATCTAACTGATACTATATGAAATAAAACTGAGCAGGTATTTTTGTAATACTTGATAAAGAAACGATGAGGTGGGAATGATGATCATAGAAACCTGCATTAAATGTCATAGTCATGGCCTTCAGTTGGAGGTCAGTGTTATGCTGTAAGGAGGGAAGTATTGACACCCATTATAATGGCTGATAATGTGGAAAACCATGATCAATGCTTTTCTTTTTCCTTCAGACTCCTCAATCTGTGTGTAGCCAGAGCTGTGGTCCAGGATTTCGGAAAATGTCACAGGAAGGAAGACCTGTCTGTTGCTATACTTGTGTTTTTTGTCCAGAGAGAGATGTTTCCAATCAGACAGGTAGAAAATACAGAATTTCAGATTGACAGCTTTACTGTCCTAATTATTTCTCAATAAAAAAGAAACCAAAGAGATTTGCAGTGACTTCATACTGCACCACGGTTCTCAATGCCAGCTTATTCTCATTCATTCAGTATATCCATGCATGATTATTACTGCTACTTCTTTATGTGTAAGCTGTTGTCTTGTGATATTCCTTCTTTTTTTTTTTTATCTTTTATTTAATGAATATAAATTTCCAAAGTACGTCTCATGGGTTACAATGGCTTTCCCCCCCATACCGTCCCTCCCACCCACCACCCTCCCCTTTCCCACTCCCTCTCCCCTTCCATTCACATCAAGATTCATTTTCGATTATCTTAGTATACAGAAGATCAGCTTAGTATACCTTAAGTAAGGATTTCAGCAGTTTGTTCCCACACAGAAACATAAAGTGAAAAATAATAGATGATTTTTTTTAAATGATGATGAAATCAGATCAGACCTATTGTCATGTTTAATCCCAGTGAGAGTCAAGTTGGGAATTGATAGTTTCTTTTCTTTTTTTTTTTTTTTTTAACAGATCAGTTTAGTGTACATTAAGTAAAGATTTCAACAGTTTGCACCCCCATAGAAACACAAAGTGAAATATACTGTTTGAGTACTCGTTATAGCATTAAGCCTCAGTGTACAGCACATTAAGGACAGAGATCCTACATGAGGAGTAAGTGCACAGTGACTCCTGTTGTTGACTTTACCAATTGACACTCCTGTTTATGGCATCAGTAATCTCCCTATGCACCAGTCATGAGTTTCCAAGGCTATGGAAGCCCCTTGAGTTCTCCGACTCTTCTGAAAGTGCTAGGTAAGACAGTATTCTTCTCTGATTTGCAGGTCGAACACACTATATTCTTTTTTTTAAAATTTTTGACATGCAGAGTGGACAGTGAGAGAGAGAGACAGAGAGAAACGTCTTCCTTTGCCGCTGGTTCACCCTCCAGTGGCTGCCACGGCCGGCGCGCTGTGGCCGGCGCACCACGCTGATCCGATGGTAGGAGTCAGATACTTATCCTGGTCTCCCATAGGGTGCAGGGCCCAAGTACTTGGGCCATCCTCCACTGCACTCCTTGGCCACAGCAGAGAGCTGGCCTGGAAGAGGGGCAACCGGGACAGAATCCGGCACCCAACTGGGACTAGAACCTGGTGTGCCGGCGCTGCAAGGCAGATGATTAGCCTAGTGTGCCATGGCGCCAGCCGAACACATTATATTCTAAGACATATAAGATGTGTAATCACCTAGGCTTCCTGTTGGTGCCTAGAAGTCTTGAAACGAATACATTTTTATACACACATGATAAGCACAAAGCTATTGCACATATTTCATTATATAATTATTGCATTCCTTTTTTTAAACTTTTATTTAATGAATATAAATTTCCAAAGTACAGCTTATGGATTACAATGGCTCCCCCCCATAACTTCCCTCCCATCTGCAACCCCCTTTCCTTCTCCCTCCCCCCTTCCATTCACATCAAGATTCATTTTCCATTGTCTTTATATACAGAAGAGCAGCTTAGCATATATTAAGTAAAGATTTCAACAGTTTGCACCCACATAGAAACACAAAGTGAAAAATACTGTTTGAGTACTAGTTATAGCATTAAATCACAATGTACAGCACATTAAGGACAGAGATCCTACATGAGGAGTAAATGCACAGTGACTCCTGTTGTTGACTTAACAAATTGACACTGTTGTTTATGGCATCAGTAATCACCCTAGGCTCTTGTCATGAGTTGCCAAGGCTATGGAAGCCTTTTGAGTTCGCCGACTCTTATCTTATTTAGACAAGGTCATAGTCAAAGTGGAAGTTCTCTCCTCCCTTCAGAGAAAGGTACCTCCTTCTTTGATGACCTGTTCTTTTCACTGGGATCTCACTTGCGGAGATCTTTCATTTAGTTTTTTTTTTTTTTTTTTTTTTTTTTTTTTTTGCCAGAGTGTTTTGGCTTTCCATGCATGTAATACCCTCATCGGCTTTACAGCCAGATCCGAGTGCCTTAAAGGCTGATTCTGAGGCCAGAGTGGGGTTTTGGATATCTGCCATTCTATGGGTCTGCTGTGTATCTCACTTCCCATGTTGGATCATTCTCTCCCTTTTTTATTCTATAGCTAGTATTTGCAGACACTAGTCTTGTTTATGTGCTCCCTTTGGCTCTTAGTCCTATCATTATGATCAATTGTGCACAGAAATTGATCACCGGGTCTAGTGAGATGGCATTGGTACATGCCACCTTGATGGGGTTGATTTGGAATCCCCTGGTATGTTTCTAACTCTACCGTTTGAGGTAAGTCAGCTTGAGCATGGCCCGAATTGCACATCTCTTCCCTCTCTTATTCCCGCTCTTATATTTGACATCTATCACATTTCAGTTAAGTTTCAACACTTGAAAATAACTGTGTATTGATTACCATATTCAACCAAAAGTATTAAGTAGAACAAAAGAAAATACTAAGAGGGATTACGTATTAAGTTGTTCATCAACAGTCAGGGTGAGGGCTGATCAGGTCACCGTTTCTCATAGTGTCCATTTCACTTCAGGAGGTTTCCTTTTTGGTGCTCAGTTAGTTGTCACCGATCAGGGAGAACGTATGGTATTTGTCCCTTTGGGACTGGCTTATTTCACTCAGCATAATGCCTTCCAAATTCCAAACAGGGATCACTTTTCAATTAAAATTTAAACACCCAAGAATAATTGTGTGTTAATTACAGAGTTCAACCAATAGTACTAGAACAAAAAAATACTAAAATGGATAAAGTATTACATTGTATATGAACAGTCAGGACAAGAGCTGATCAGGTCACTGTTTCTCATAGTGTCCATTTCACTTCAACAAGTTTCCCCTTTGGTGCTCAGTTGTCGCCGATCAGGGAGAACATATGATATTTGTCTCTTTGGGACTGGCTTAATTCACTCAGCATGATGTTTTCCAAATTCCTCCATCTTGTTGCAAATGACCAGATTTCATTGTTCTTGACTGCTGTATAGTATTCTATAGAGTACATGTCCCATAATTTCTTTATCCAGTCTACTGTTGATGGGCATTTGGGTTGGTTCCAGGTCTTAGCTATTGTGAATTGAGCTGCAATAAACATTAATGTGCAGACAGCTTGTTTGTTTGCCAATTTCATTTCCTTTGGGTAAAATCCAAGGAGTGGGATTGCTGGGTTGAATGGTAGGGTTATATTCAGGTTTCTGAGGAATCTCCAGACCGACTTCCATAGTGGCTTAACCAGTTTGCAATCTCACCAACAGTGGGTTAGTGTCCCTTTTTCCCCACATCCTCGCCAGCATCTGTTGTTGGTAGATTTGTGTATGTGAGCCATTCTAACCGGGGTGAGGTGAAACCTCATTGTGGTTTTGATTTGCATTTCCCTGATTGCTAGTGATCTTGAACATTTTTTCATGTGCCTGTTGGCCATTTGGACTTCCTCTTTTGAAAAATGTCTATTGAGGTCCTTGGCCCATCTCTTAAGTGGGTTGTTTGTTTTGATGTAGTGGAGTTTCTTGATTTCTTTGTAGATTCTGGTTATCAACCCTTTATCAGTTGCATAGTTTGCAAATATATTTTCCCATTCTGTCAGTTGTCTCTTCACTCTCCTGACTGTTCCGTTTGCAGTACAGAAACTTCTCAATTTGATGCAATCCCAAATGTTAATTTTGGTTTTGACTGCCTGTGCTTCTGGGGTGTTTTCCAAGAAGTCTTTGCCGGTACCTATATCTTGCAGGGTTTTTCCAATGCTCTCTAGTAATTTGATGGTGTTGGGTCATAGATTTAAGTCTTTATTCCATGTTGAGGGAATTTTTGTGTAAGGTGAAAAGTAGGGGTCTTGCTTCATGATTCTGCATGTGGAAATCCAGTTTTCCTAGCAGCATTTATTGAATAGACTGTCCTTACTCCAGGGATTGGTTTTGGATCCTTGATCAAATATAAGTTGGCTGTAGATGTTTGGGTTGATTTCTGGTGTTTCAATTCTGTTCCATTGGTCTATCCACCTGTTTCTGTACCAGTACCATGCTGTTTTGATAACAACTGCCCTGTAGTATGTCCTGAAATCTGGTATTATGATGCCTCCGGCTTTGTTTTTGTTGTACAAGATTGCTTTAGCTATTCGAGGTCTCCTGTGCCTCCATATGAATTTCAGCATCATTTTTCCAGATCTGAGAAGAAGGTCTCCAGTATCATGATTGGTATCGCATTGAATCTGTAAATTGGTGTTGGGAGAATGGACATTTTGATGATATTGATTCTTCCAATCCATGAGCATGGAAGATTTTTCCATTTTTTGGTATCCTCTTCTATTTCTTTCTTTAAGGTTTTGTAATTTTCATCGTAGAGATCTTTAACGTCCTTGGTTAAGTTTATTCGAAGGTATTTGATTGTTTTTGTAGCTATTGTGAATGGGATTGATCTTACAAGTTCTTTCTCTGCAATGGTATTGCCTGTATATACAAAGGCTGTTGATTTTTGTGCATTGATTTTATATCCTGCTACTTTTCCAAATCTTCTATGCGTTCCAATAGTCTCTTAGTAGAGTTCTTTGGGTCCCCTAAATAATGAATCATATTATCTGCAAAGAGGGATTGTTTGAGTTCTTCCTTCCCAATTTGTATCCCTTTAATTTCTTCTTCTTGCCTAATAGCTCTGGCTATAACTTCCAGAACTATATTAAATAGCATTAGTGAGAGTGGGCATCCCTGCCTGGTGCCAGATCTCAGTGGAAATGCTTCCAACTTTTCCCCACTCAATAGGATGTTGGCCGTGGGTTTTTCATAAATTGCTTTGATTGTATTGAGGAATGTTCCTTCCATACCTAGTTTGCTTAGAGTTTTCATCATGAACGGGTGTTGTATTTTATCAAATGCTTTCTCGGCATCTATTAAGATAATCATATGGTTTTTCTTCTGCTGTCTGTCAATGTGGTGTATCATTCAGGAGCATGTTGTTTAATCTCCATGAAT